ATATTGAAAAGCAGCTTGCAAAGCTTCTTGGTGATCGTTATGCAGACTTTATCAAAGCATTTTATCGTGCCCGAAACGTTTTATGTAAAGAAATATTTGAGGAATACTGAAAACAACTTATGATTGATTTTCCAGAATCAACTGAATACCTACTTAGACAGCTTGATTCACGTAAAACAACCTGGGCAAAAGCATTTACAGGTCGGGTTTTTACAGCAGGGATAACATCTACTCAATGATCTAAATTAATAAATGGTGTAATCAAATGGACTGTAAATGAAAGAACTCAACTTCATGTCCTGTTTAACCGAATTGAATCATGTGTTGCAGAAGAACAATTTGCTGGTCAGTTTGCAGCTTGGCGTGAAAAGACAGTATCATATATGACACCAAGTGTTTCTGGATGACTTTTTCCCAATATATATAATATTCTGCAAAAGTATGTGATGCCTAAAATTTTACAGTTATATACTGATCAAATGAATGAGGTAGTAATGTATCGTAGCAAAAGGGTTAGTTTTGAGGAGCCATATAATTTAATATTAGAGGTTGTTAATAATGGGCCGATTGAATTTGAGTATGATTTCCGTCAGATACGGTTTGACAAACTTCTTGAAGGGGTTGATTATTCCTTAGTTGCTGAAGTTTGGAATATTCAATCAATCGAACATAATTCACATGTTGGACAGAATGTAGTGCTATTAAAAAATAGATTTCATTTATACACATGCATTTTATTATTTGATGGTGGAGTAGTTTGCCGTCATTGGTTTTGTGTTCTTTTACAGTCTGAAAAGGCCTATTTTCATATTTCTCTTATTTCAAGACATTGGCACAAAGATAAATTTATAGACACAGTGGTTGCTAATGAGCCATTTGTTAGAAGCAAATTATTAGAAAAGAACAGTTCAACACTATCCTTATCTTCTTTTCCAGAGATTGCTGATTCGTGGAATACTATGCTTATTGAACCTCCTGTACAAACTGCAGCAAAAGTGATTGGCCACAAACAATCAATTAAAGGAACATTGCTTGGACTTGCCCGTAAATGTGTAGAAGTAGTTAATTATGATGATTTAAATGATTCAAAGATTTTAATAGAAATATTTAAGGAATGGATACACACCCATGAGAAAGCACAATGCGACAAATGAACTATAGAACAGGAACTGAATGATGATCAAATTGCAGAAAATAATCAAGATACAGAGAGTGATCAAGATACAGAGAGTGATCAAGATACAGAGAATGATCAAGATATCGGAACAACACAACTAGATGTTCAGGATCCATTTAAATATATTGGGAAAGGGCACCCATCCAAAAAGCGTATAAAATCAGGCGACATTATAATCTGTGCTCGGTTATGCATGATTATGCATGATCTACAAATCAGATTTGAGAATTAGGTGTAATGTAGCATGATCAAAACAAACGTTCGTTTTTCCAAAAATCGCTTCTTTCTCAAAAATCTGCATAGTAAACCTCCTTTAGTGCACTAACAAAAAGTTTTCCTTGTGCAATTTTACTATATAACTACTTAGCTTTTAACTTTATATGAAATGCCAACCCTAATATTAATAAACTTTAAAGAATTTTACATAATGATTGGCAACATGCATAACCGAGCACAGATTATAATCTTGCTAAAATCAGCAATTGAAAAACCAAAGAAACGTACACGTATTTCGTCCTGTGCTTCTCGTCAGTGCAGTGTTTGTAAAAGCAAGAAACATAATAAGCGAAATTGCCCTAACAAAAAATAGTTGATATAGCACATATTTATTTTTGCATAATATATAATAATCTTAAATTGATATAGCAAATTAATGCTCAAATTAAAACTTAGATTAATAATAACTTATGAAGTATGACTACAGGATTTTTAAGCACCTCTTAATAAATTTGATAAAAACATCTGTTTGGTTAGATTTTTTATCAAATTTATTGAGAGAGCTACTTGAGAATGCTCAAATTACATAGTAATTTAATGTTACTTAAGAAATTTACTTTAGCATAGAATTTTAATTTAACTAGTACTAGAGTTAATAAGCATAGAACTTTTAGGCATTTCTTTTGAAGATTAGAATTAAGTAGGTTAAGTATCATCTCATT